CACTCCAGCCTCTTCAGCATGACGAAAACGGCAAAAGAACTGGATCTGACATCGGACGAAAGGCGAGAATCTAGATTTCGACGAGATAGAATGGCCAAAATGTTGATTATATTGTTTCTCCCGATCTTTGTTATCATTATTCAGACCGGAGTGCAAGTGAATGAAGCAATCCGACATAAACACGATGCCCAGCATGCCCATGACGAGGTTAAAATCAGCGTACAAACCGCTGCCTTGGTGACAGAAATACAGAAAGAAAGAGGAATGACTTCAGTTTACGTTAGCTCCAATAGTAGCGACGCGTTGCAAACACTATTGGGATTTTACCAGGGAACGTACAAAGCAATCGATGACATCACTATTTGGCCAGGATCACAAAAAGATGGTGATGTTTTTGCAACAAAGGAAACATTCCGAGAGTTCTTGGCCAACCATAGATCTCAAGTTGAACCCGGAACGTATTTCAAACTCGAGATCGACTTCTACACTGATCTGATCCAGATTATTATCAACTGGGTGACCTCCAGCATCCATATGAACGCGCAGTGGGACCTATTGCAATCAGTCATCGCTTACGATGCCTTCTTGCGCAGTAAAGATGCAATTGGTGTTGAGAGGGCGTTAGGTGGGACGTACTTTGGAAAGGGTGGCTTCACGCAGGAAGAATATCGTTTTTTCTGCGAAGTGTCATCTTCAGCATCGACGTTGTTGAGCCTCAGCATGCAGCACTACGATCTTGTCAAAGACAAATACAGCGAACTTATGTCAGTGGAGACTGCTACGCAATTACGTGAATCGTTAGATTCATTGAAAAGCCAAATTTACGCCAATAACATATCTGGCTCGGACGTTATGCAGGGACTATACTGGTTTTATAATATGACATCATATATGTCAATAATTGGTGAAGTTGAGAAACTGGTAACAGACCAAATCTTAGCGATGTTCAACGAGCAAGTCAGCGATGCAGTCCGAGAAACCATTATAAGTTTTGTAATTCTGGCTTTGGTGCTGACAATCTGTCCTATGATAGGCGTGTGGTACGTTATATCCGTGAACCGAATGACGAGTGCTATCAAACACTATGCGTTGAATCTGACAACAAAGACAACCGAGCTGAGCAAAGAAAAGAAACGCTCCGAAAAACTGCTTTATCAAATGTTGCCACCGACAGTGGCCGAAGAGTTGAAACGCAACAACACGGTGAATGCCGAGTATTTCGAGAGCGTCACTATACTGTTCAGCGATATCGTGGGATTTACGGACCTTGCAAGCAGTAGCACACCGCTACAGGTAAGTGAACACATAATATACCCCACACATGTTCCTAATTATATGCTTTTTGTGTCTAGTGCAGTGTGGTATGATCCGAGATTCACTAACTAAAACACTACATTCCAATTTTATTTGATGTGCTGCTGGTAATAACATAACACGTGTCCACATATACAAGGGATCTAAAATCGCATGATCGTTTCTCATAACGTGTACAACTAAACTATTCACGCGTGACTCCAAGCACGTGATTAAGTGTACACTTGTACACGTAGCATGTTAATTTCCGATTTGTAGTCATGAGTGCCATGAATAATTGAGAGGGAATTCGATAATTGTCCACAATAGACCGCGCTGACGAGATAAACGAGACACGTGAACTACGGACGAGAGAATGCTGCTATTTGACGATACCATTTCATTGTTATGGATTGATTGTTTTCGACTAAACTCTCATTCGTGGGAAAGGGCTGTTTTACGGAACAGACGCGACAGCTGTATTCATTCAAGATGAATATGGCGTCTCGTGGATACCCAGTCCTGATTCAGAAACAAAATTCGAACGCTTGTTCGATATTTATGCGTTTTTGGCTTCGCACTTGTTAATGTTTCCGCTGCTCTAACACACGTGGAATTTATAATATAGACAAACCAAACAACGCATGATTATTTTTAGGGATGCTGTATAGATGTGTTTGTATTGGCTGTTTTATAGTATGTGACAACCCATTTTCGTTAATTAAAAACAAATGCACAAGTCATTGTTTTGAAACTCATGTTTTAAATAAATAAACAATCAAGAATCAACCGACCTCTAATAGTCACCACCATTAGCAAAATAAGTAACAGTCCCTCATATTCAGTACAAGCTACGCTTCAATCGCACACATATTCTATTCACGATCGTCCACATTTTTTTTAAATTCTCGCATTATTTCCGTTATTTGGCTGACTCGGGTGTTTGCAACAGTACAAACACGACTTCCCTAGAGTCATTCGATTTCAAATGTTCACAGTATATGATCTTGTGTCAGAGGGATATGTTGTCGGTAAATGATACTATAAGTACTATGCTTCGATATACCTGCAAAGTGAAAGTCTCACAGAAAACATAATAACTACTTGACATATTTAAATTAGAACATCATGAGCTCATTCGCACAGTTTAATGGCACACGTTAGTAAATAGAACGGGTATAACAATTATATGTCCTACGATGTATGATTTATACAGTGAGTACCCCCTCTCTAAGTCGCGTCTAACTTAGGAATATGTCGCAATTTCGGCTAAGTTGCGGGTAGCTGGATGGCTCTCAAAATCTATTGTGTTTGTCTACATTTTTTAAGTAAAAGAAATAATAATTCGTAGTATACTGTAAATACAGTATATGTGGATTCTGTCATTTTTTGTTGTTGCAAATTTAGCAAATCGTGCGAATAAAATACATTTTCAGTGATTAAATTCAGAAATGTTAGCCTTGTGAATCGTCAATGTCTGAAAGTAAACAACGATGTTCAAGTATCGGCACATTAATACAATAACAATAACAATAACCCAATTGCATATATATGTTTAGTTGTTGGTATAAATGACGATAATACAAATACTGAATATTAACCATACACGGATTTTATTATCATCGTTATAACATTTTCAGATTATGAACCTAAACGTATAATATGCCTATCACTGTTACTGTTTCATTGGGAGGAGGCAATCTTGTTCACCCGTCCTGAGTTTGGTTCGGATAAACATCGATTTTTCCATGATACTAGCCGGCGCATGCGTCGATAATCGTGCTTTAAGTCGCCACACAGCATCCTAGTGTATGTAAAATAGACAAAGTTTGAGCGCGCACGCATGTGACGACAGTTACAAACTGTAAAATACCGAGCTTGATGTGAATTCATCTCTCGTGAATGTATATATGAAACTGTGGCACTTATTGTCACATAGCGAGCTAAAACTAGGTGGGCATAACATATGTTTAATCATTCTTGTCTACACTTGAGCCAATCCATCGAATCGATATTCCATGTAGATTTACTACATGGAAGACAGTATGAATACTTGCGCAGCATGTCAATTGTGTATACGACAAACAGACACTTAATTTCCAGGTCCAGCAAGATAATTTACAACAACGTGAACACAAAATTTCACTAAAGCACATACTGAATCACCGGTAAAACCGGCATCTGTACAAATATTTCTCTGATTTGGTATTCTACGCAACTGTGATTTATTTAGACACCATACGACGTAAAACATTTATAAATATTTTATCATCTTATTAGATATTGAATATACAATACTATTATGCAAACTATATCTAGCCTAAAAATCTTATCTTTGAATATGAGGGGGCTGAGTAACTACATAAAAAGAAAAAACGCTTTTAGATGGCTAACTAATACGAATGCTAATATCATTATGATCCAGTAAATAGTAAATATTGGGAGAGGCAAATTAGAGGGGACATGATTTTTTTCAAATGTTCAAAATAATAGTAGAGGGGTTCTTTGACATTAACAATGTGTACCGATATGAAGAGGGTGGAATTTTGATTATCGATGCACTGGTAGCCGATATTCATTTTATTCTATACTCCTATGCACCAAATAAGCAGGTAGAATATGTGGCCTTATCAATGTTGGAATTTTGTTTTGGGGGAACTACTGGTATGGAATACAATGCGTACTTCACAAACTAAACAACTCTGATTTTGATATGAGAATGTTAGCCCTTTGGATAAACCAGTTACACGGCAGTACATCGGCTGATTTACAAAATTGTACTACAAGAACTGTGGCTAAGAGTATTGTGAACTATAAATTTATCTCGCCTCGATCTGACATATATTTTACTGTACTATTGAATATCTCACATTTGATGTCTTGGTTGCCAATCTACTAATTACCCTACTAATTTACACTCGTCTCAGAGAATTTCAACTCAAAATATTCTGACCACAAGTACAACAAATCCAAACCAAATCCTCCCATTGTGGGGTCTGACCTGTGTACTTTCTCTTACCCATTTGTTCTTACAATGCCAATGTATCCAAGATGTTTTGGAAAAATTTTATATGCTTCGGGGTGGAGAAGCCTGGCTTGAGGGTATTCCCGAATGCGCAACAAATCCTACTCTGGGGCGAAAATCTTACATGTTTAGTCAACTTCCTCCCTCTGGGAGCAAAAAGATTTACTCGTGTAGCCGGAGTTCATGGCATACACAACATTCTGGCTTTAATGTTCTTACATAAACACAGAACACAAGGCATAACATATTCCTGTTACACATATTACTAGGATGTCCACTTCGAGTCAAAGGCAAGCAAATAAATAAATAGTCCTGTGAATTGCTACGTCTGACGTCTAACGCCCTGGGTTGTCCGAGAAACACCCAGCAAAGGTAAAACGTACTAATAATTCATTTTATTGTAATGGACATGTGCACAAGTCGAACCATTAAATTTAATGTGTCAACACAAAGAGAGCGTAACGCGTGACGTACATTAGTAGACGGGTATATTATTGAAAATTATAATATAACTTCGCTCCTTTATAACATGCTTATACGAAAGCAGTTAATGATTACCCAGGGTCATGTACATGCGATGACATGGAATTATCAGACTGGCATGTGTGAACAGGTATTATGGAAATCACCGAGTCTGGCTTGTTAACAGCAATGCCGTTTAAATGTTTATACTAACAGGGGGAATTTACCCCGTCATTTGACTAATCTTCTCACGCCTATTCTGCCTGTGTTAGTTTACTCCCAGAGCATTACACGTTTACCGTGTTTTGATATATTCTGACAAAAGTGTGCTTGAATTTCGGCGAAGAAGCGTGACGATTAAATTAAGAAAAGTGTATTCCATGGAATAATTCACTCATGTGAGAAATGTGCGTTCTGCTCCAAAACATTCAAATAATATAAAGTAGATTAATACGAAATTAATTTAAGAGCGATGGGGTTTATAATTAGATTTAATTCAAAATAAATACAATAATTAGAAAATGACGAAACCCCGAACATTTGTTTTTGCACAGTCCTTCCACAGGGACTGTGTTTTTTGTAATTATGCTTCACGTGTTTTTTTTTCCGTTCATCGAACGGCTTAAAGTGTGAAGGACAAATTATGTAAATTTAGTAAGGATCATAAATAATGACAGGATATGAAGCATAATTATTGACTATAATGAAATGACCTGACATCACCTAACAAATACCATCTTTCCTATTTGTTTTACCCATGCTTCGAATGTTGTGTGTTATCACGCATTTTAGTGAACTATACAATTACATACGTGGGAACACATTACTGGTAATAATATACCTTATCTTGTGGTGATATATTATTTCGGATTTTGTGCGTCAAATTGTTTGTCTCATTTAAACCTGCGTTGTTTACAACATGCATGTAGCCTTGGTAAAAATATAATTTCGTCACAAAAACGAACAACCACGCAGGTATGGATTTTCCCCCTAGGCATTTGGTATGAAAGCATAACATGCGGTTTTATTATATTATTTTTCTATTTCACTGCTTTTTCAATTAAAGTAGCAGCAGGGTTATCTTGTCAAATAACGATTTGTCGTCTGTTTGTCATCGCTTTTACGAATTTGTTGTGTATTACATTATATACTACACGATAGTCATCAATCTATTAGTAGAAAGGCGACAACAGTGGTATATCATATTGTGAATGAAAATCCACACCTTCCCCAAATATATAAGCCTATTTTGGATCCAAATTTGACGTCATAACAAGTCGTGGGCATGGAACGTATTGTCCCCCAAACCCTTCAAAATAACAGCAAATTTAACTCGACAAGGAGAAATGTAATGTAAAAGGTTATGTTTTTGTCTTCGTTGTTATCACTATGCCAGTACTCGCATAATAAATACCAGTTACAAATTCATATTTATACAATGATGTTTACTGGATCGACTTTTTTAGTAAAATTATATAATTTAGTAAAATTTGTTGATATATTTTATTGTATTTATATGGACCGATAATATCTCTTTTATTGGTGTATGGATGTACATATTTATTAATTTGCTGAACCTTTTTTGTCAAATATTATGCAAAATTGTTCATTTGCGAGTCACTTAACTATAGAAACTGTCGAACACATACGCAGAATGTTGTTTTACTAATAAAGATATATGGACAGTGAGGAAATTTAAAATTAATGTAACATCAACTTATATTGCTCAATGTATAACAGACGCAGGTTTGTGAGTTTTACATGAGATTTTATATGCCGTATTAATATTTGTCTGGGGGAATGACGACCAATACCGCTGTTATGCATTTTTGCTATTATGACTTTCATAAACACCGTTTTTGATCACTTTTAGTCACGCGAATGTTCTGTTAATTTCACATAATTCCCATACCGGCATAGGTCTGAAGATGGTGTCTGGTTTATGTTTCCAAGATATGACCAAATAACTTACGGACATACTACCCACACTCCATTGTCGGAGCCTGTCTGTAGAGAATGTGTAAATCACAGATTAATTTTAACTCGTTTTACCCCTGCTGCTATCTCAATCATTTTAGACTTTGGCAATTCTATTTAGGTGGATTTAGTAGACCATTGATGGCAGGATTGCTTTTTCAATTCTAGGTGGTGTGAATTCTCGACACGTCATTTTTGTTATTGCGTTGTAACTGAAATCAGCATTGGAAGAGTATGTTATTAACCTCTTGGTATTCTCAATGACTATCAGTTTTGTAAGCCCCAAAACCGTTCAATCAATGTCGTAATATTCAGTGCATATTCTTATAACTATCACCAACTTACACAGAGAAACAATGAGACACTGTTTAGCCACGTTTACGCCAAATCACTATACCCCAGATTCTGTGATTTTCTTATAAAGCAACGTCGCTATAGACGTAGATTCCCTGAAATGGTAACCATGTTATTGATTAAACTGGTAGTTGATAAGCACCACATGGGAATGTTCTCATCTCATGGCACTAAGCAATTAAATTGAAATAGTAATGGACACATCCATACCATTTTAATGATACAGAAGTCATTACCAATATTTGAAAACCGACCCATTTCACTCCATGACACGGTATATTAGTGTGTATCCAGTTCAATCCAGTCTCAGCTTGACAGGTTTTTGCGAGTACAGTATAATTGATGTTGCTATTTATCCAAATAAAGTGTTTATAGATTCAAATGATTAATTGTAAAGAGTATTGAATGCCTTGCCGTCCATATACATCAATGACGTAAAGCTATGCATAATAAGTTCAAGAAGTGTAGAAAAAATAGTGCTGATTGTTTACTCACTGATTAGGGGGAAAGTTTTAAAATCATTGCATAATTAAATAAAATATAGGTTATTCGAAATATGTGTGGTTGCTAGTCCTCTGCTAAAGAGTCATCATATGCAGGTAAGAGAGACTGCGTGCCGTGCTGACAAATGAATATAATTATTTCATAGCACAGGCATTCGTATTTGCTTTCCTGGTTATCGAAACTATTTGAATCTGAGACAGATAAACATAAGTTAATGTATCCATCTTCATCCACCAAATAAATAAAAGAAAGCTTATATCATCTATGCAAACCTAATCAATCAATCAATCAATCAGATAACACGCACGCAATTGAACATGTCATATGTAAGGGTGCTTACTCGATTAATTATCATTTCCAATTTTTCCCCGATTACTTCTATTGAAACATTTACGAAAGTATTAAGATTATTTTTAAACCCGATTATGATCGTTCGTTTTATAAACGACAATAAGAAAAAAGAAAGCATTTCCTATATGACGACGAACAAGGATATTCAGGAGATTCGCTGAAAAAATATCCAATAAACCAAAAAACAGTAAGCTGCTAATAATAACAAATTCAGATGTCACATTTGATAATGTTACACTAAATATTTTATTAAACTTATTGGATAAAACTGCATACAACACCTTTGCACCGTTGTTATCGTTGTTTGGACCCGATCTGTGCATTGTCATTGTAATGTACGTGAGGTATCATCGTCAGGGGAATGGTTGATTCACATTCAGGAAATTCAGTAACTATATAACAAACTAATGTAATATACTCCCGGCCTCGCTATCGCCATTGAATTACCATGCATTTTGTGGTCATGATATTGGAAACAATCAAAACTAGTTTGTATTAGATGAATTCCATCGATGCGTACTGAATGAAGTCAATGCGACATGACGTGTTCTATAGTGCTTGTAATCTCTGTGTTCATACAGGCAAAACACGATAGGAGATGGTTCATTACATTCCATTCCCAGTTATTAGAGTTAATTCCACACTCAAAAACAAGTTACCATAAAACCCATTGTGTAGGGTTTTTTGCAGTCAATTAACGTTAAGGCGGAAATCGCACTCTAGTCCAGTGGATTTAGGGTTTGACCCGGAATAAAATAGTACATTAGCGAATTTTGTTTCAAAAGTTGGATAAGGTTATTGAGAATGACCAAAAAAAACCCCCAAGCACTGATTTTACCTACCGCAGATATCCAACCATGCAATAACCTCTAATTACCATTGAAATGTATTACTGTATAGCTACAATATTTTAAAAACAATGAATGAAATATAAATCTGCATCTGTAACAGATCACTTCAACATGCATAATGACGTCATATACATGATGACGTCATTTCTGACGTCAGAAGTCCGTCGACCTTGTGAAGCCGATGTCTTTTAAAAGCTAGTCCTTCAGTCAATCTAATTTGATTTTTAGGTCAACCATGACAAAATTGCAACAGAAAGTTTCTTTGCAGATTTAGCAACAATGGACATCTATAAACATGATATCAAAAGTCTACCAAAATCGGACAAAGGGAAAGTTGATTGTTTTCAGGTATTGATATTGCCCATATAATGGAAATATTAAGCCATTTTATTGATGCAGTAAGACGTACATATACAAATGCATATGGGATAATAATGGTCAATATATCCACATATTTATCACACTTATCATATTTAGTCAGCCAAACATTTTTTGCGCATGGTGAAGCAAATAGCGCCCTCTATATACATGTACAGCGCCACCAAGTGGTGATATTTTCAGAAATATACAGGGTCTGGTATTAGTCTAGTTTCATTGGCATTTTGTCAATATAAATTCTACACAATATGAAAAACTCGATTATTGTTCATATATCATTTTCATTATTAAAAAACAAAATTTCAGAAATATTTGGGCCATATTTAGATCCATCATTCGCCAAATCAATATGATACTTTGCTGCAGTCGGTCTCCATAACTCGCACCTCCCATAAATTATACATCTGCATAAAAATATACAAATGAATCATGTTTATCAAAGTATATGTGATTGTATCATATAAAGATACAATCGTAATATATAT